TTCCCAATCAGATTCTTACTTAAACATATAAGGAATAAGGATGGATATGAAAATGTGCCTATATTGTTGTTTGAGAAATAAAAAACTGTACAGAGGAGCGAGAATACAAACACCTTCGATCTAGCTTCTTCCACTTCCTCAGGGCATACTGTAGGGTTTTGGCCAATCAAGACAGAGGGCTTTTTTGGGGGGAACTGATCCCTGTCCATTTAAAAACAAAACGCACATCTAGTGAGCGCTCACGTACACTGGGCATGTGTGTAAACATGAAGCAGATGGTCTATTCTATAGTTACAGAAGATTTGGCGAAGGAATAAAGACAGACCAAGAACCACACCAGATTTTTTGAATGTAACACGGGAGTGTAACACGGGAGTTTAAAGCGACTGTGACAGACTGAGAGTTGTTGCAAAGTAAATGGCGACATGCACGCAGTAGTGTGAAATGAGGGCCTGCATGAAGGCCAGTGTGAGATATAAAGTATATTTTTTTAAAGTTTGAACCATGCAACACTACCATCAGAGAGTCACGGAACCCCAATATATGGCTGGAAATGCATTATAATAGGTCTCCTTTTAGACAGCACCTTTGTGACTCATATTTTAAAGCTCAAAGTGGTGCATGTATACACATTTGCCTTGATTGAATATCAAACAAACACAAAGATTAAAACACGCTGCAATCAAAGTATCTACAGAGCTTGTTTTTAGTTTTTGTTTAACCCTTTGGTACCTGCATGTCTCTTCTGCACTTGAACAGCCCCTCTGCTTTTCTGTGTCCTTAAATAAACCTAATTTGTTATTTCCATATCTAAGATCAACATTTGGCTGTTTTTCTGTGCTCTACAAACAGGCTGTTCTGTTTTGTCGAAAGTACGGATGTCTTGTTGCATGTAAAACCTCAAACTAACCTGAGTGTGTTTTCTCTTTAGTTCTGACCTCACTGCTGAGCTGCACAACAAACCAAGGTGAGAAAACTTCTTCTGTCACAGCTGAAAAGTTTTTCACTCCCTGAAAAGTTAGTGTTTAGGATGTGTTTGGCGTCACTTTACAAATACAATAAAACACTGAATGCAGTTTTGATGCCACAGTGTTGCAGACTGGAGCCAAAGCTAAAACTGCTGGTATATAAATGTAATTCAGAAACCAGGACTGCACCGCATGATGCAGCGGCTACCAGAGAAGTGGAAATACGTCTTTGTATACACATTTTAAGTGCTGCTTCTTATAAAGGTCTGGTAGGCTGTAGTTACCATAATGACACAAGGATTATGAAGAAAAGTATTGATTGGTACAAGAGCCATTAATAATAATAATGAGTCAATAAACAGGTCTCAGAAAACAAAATATTAGTAAGTAAATAAGTATACACTATATTAAGTAAGACACATGTAGCCAGGTCTTCTGCTTTGTGTTTAACTCCAAGCAAGGGCATAGAATTAGGTAGGGACATGTCCCCACCAACATCCAGTGACTACTGAATTGTCAATTTGATCAAAAAATTCAAATATAGACACAGATGTCTGTCAGACAGATGTCTACTTAATGTATTTGGTACACAAATAGGTAACAGTCAGCCGAGAATAAAAGGCAGTATCAAGTCTATCAACTATGATGGAGTATTCGGGCCACTTTCAGAACAAAATAATAGTAGCCTAATCTGAGATTTAGAAAATAATGTCATAATAGAATATGTTGTATGGAGTCAAATGTACATGTGTTAGTATTTCCTGTAGTCTCCAGTTATTCAGACATATAAACAGTTGGACTGCAGTTTTTCCTCTGACCGGTAGCTCTATGTCGCTGCTGTCTCTTTCCCAATTGCTAAGAGACTCCTTTCTGAATGTGTAGAAACTTTTGAACATGAGCAGAAACCCTGCTGAAACACAGGAGCAATTAAAGTCCTGGGGCCGTATTACAGAAACTTCCTAACCGGCAGATCCTATCCTAACTGCTTGGTAACCATGGTAATAAGGGTTAGGAAGCGATTTAGGAAAAAGGCCATTACAGATTAATCAGTCCTAAGTCCTTTCTAACTTTAGATAAGAAAAGTGTATTACAGAAGCATCCTAACTTTGTAAAATCTTAAATAAACTCTACTAAATTTAGGAGAACTGTTGAGCTGTCCTAACTTTTACTTTTCCACCAGTTAGTGTTTGCTAACTCGTTTAATCCACATGGTCGCAATTTTATTGCTTTTACAAAATCAACAAAATGTCAACAGGCGGAACATAATTGATTCTACCGATGTGTTTGGTGACGAAACACTCATTAGTAGAAAGGCGATGTAACGCTACATAATATCACATTATTAAAACATAATGTAAAGCTTTACCTTCATTATTAACTTTCCCGAGAAGAGTAGCCTTCTTAGTCAGTGAGGGAGCACAGGAGGAGCCAGCAGCGGTTTCATCTGCTCTTTGGACACAACAGTTGCCTGTGTCTTCATTTCACTGTAAATGGACTTAATTTTCTTTTTAACAGCATCAACGCTCAGCTGGATGCCGGATATGTGGCGGAGACTGTGTCCGCTACTTTAGCCCACTCTCTGTCTTTAATCTCCAGAGTTAAGCGTTATGTGGATTTGGATTTCTCCACAGAGGTTACAAACACCTCTAAGTCATCTGACTTGAAGTTCAATAATAGTTGTTGTTTCTGCTCCATTTTCAGTGTATGTTTCATTAATAAAACTACCTAAAAACAGCAATTAAAAGCCGCTTAGCTCGGTGAGATGAGAAATGTGGCTATCTCAGGGCGTCATATACCGACAATTTGAGAAAGAGTGACAAAGCGTAGTTATTTAGTACAAATAACTAGCTAGCTACGTTCGTGATAAAGGTGTTGACAGCCCCCCGAAGCCCCTATCCTTACCACAAACATCAGAAATGTTAGTACCTAAACCTAAGTCACTGAATTTATGCATGTCGACCGGCTAACCCCACAGCTGCGGGTTAGCAGGAAGGCAAGGGAGGCTAACCCTACCTATAGTATGGGGTGGTGATGGCTTTGGTGTGGGAGACCTGGGTTCGATTCCCACTGTGAGACATCCACCATTGTGGGCCAGACACTTAACCCCCAGTTGCCTAGTTGTATAGTAATTATAAGTCGCTTTGGATAAAAGCGTCAGCTAAATGAATAAATGTAGTAGGTTTGGCTCCCTTGTGTTGCTGCAATGTAGGAAAGGGGGGTGTTTCATACGGACACTGAAGGGTACCTTTAGCGTAAAATCCTTACGCTTTGTCACGCTGTCTGAAAGCATCAGTTATGATGCATTGAAATGAGAATGTGTTGAGGATTCCTAAAGTTAGTTAGGATTTGCTTCATACCAAATTGTAAATACCAAATTTCTGTAATACGGCCCCTGGACTTTATAACTGTATTAAAATTAATTAATTTCTCATTGAGGTAAAAAGGTGACACATGAACACTTAAAGAGGTCACTTCTCCGAACAAAGACACAAAAGAGGAGAGAAGACTTATCATGCCTGCATGTGTGCTGACTCAGCAGGGATATTACATAAGAGAAGTTCATCTGCAGGAGAAACGGATCTGAAAGAAACACAGAATGCCTGAGAGCCTTATTGCATTATGTTATGTTTTTGCCACCTGAATTTTGTGTTTCCCTTTACATAAATAAAACATTTCCACTATACTGCCCTACAAAGTCTATGTGCAGTAACTATGCAAACAGTGAAAAATGCCTTTAAAGTTTTGAGATTACCCAGTCAAACATGTTGTGTTTAGATCGGTGGTAACGCATTCATGTAATACCTTCTTAAGAAGACATTTTTATAGATAAAAACCAGGAGCACTGATGTGCCCTTTGACCCTCAAAAGTATATACTGCACTCCACATGACCTTAACCAACTAAAACAACATTGCAAAGGCAAAGTGCAGTATCTACAAACTAAATGTGGTCATTCAACTTTCTTGTTGTGTTTCTTACTACATGTTGATTGTTTTTAATAGCTTTAACAGTTTTATTTATGTTTGCAAGTTGCAAATGTTGAAATAGCTCAGTATTAAGCCTCAAAATTAAGTTGTCTTTTATTGCAATTGCCCTTTACACAGTGTTTTGCTCTTAAAAAATTTACTTTGAAGAAACTGTTATCTTCATTGTCTTCATTTCCCCACCCATCATTAACATTTTACACAATAAATAAATGTTGATGTGTTAGTTTGCATTAGAATTTTCATTTTGTGTGTGTGTGTTGTCAGGTGCACTGGTCCACTTTCCTGAGGAGGCACAGCCAATTTTAGCTAACTTTAACATAAATTTACCGGAGCCGGTGACCTGCTTACTTTTGAAGGAGTAACCTCTGTCACAACAATTGGAATAGCTGCTTGAAATATGAATAAAGAGATGCCCGATATAAGAAACATCAACGCGATTACAAATCACGCTGTCACAGTAAAAGCGTTCCAGGGAGCAGGTTGGCTACAATGTTTGTCTGATTTGCAAGTGGCTGGCAAGCCAACTTAGCTAATAGTAACTGATTATAAAGCAGTGTGCCTTGCTGTGTTTCAATGCAAGTTTAACAATGATTTTACTGCGGGATTGTGCTATGGTGTTTCTCTATGGTAAGATAATATTAGCTGTTTGGCTTGTTGGTTCTGTGTGAGGGAGTGTTACGATCGGGGGCAAACAGTATTACAGTTCACTTCGGGATTAGGCTACCAAGGCAGACCGCAGTATCTGCGGTGTACAAGCCGGAAAACAAAGCCAGCCAGAGCGTTTGCCTTGGTATTAGCTTGGATTTTGTAGTTACTGCAATTTTGACACTCTCGTTTCTCTGAAACGGGGCAAAATTTAAGTAGGAGACTTTGTCACAAGACAGAACAGATGTCATAAAGCCCATTTCAAGTCATAACTAAATTTTGACCAAATGTGTAGTAACTGCGCTTTGGCTTTGTAGGGCAGTATAAATTGTTGCCAGAAAGCACGAAATGGAGTGTAACAAACAAAATGTTCTCTGAGAGGACTCAAGACCCCAGTTTAATTTGTTTCCTCAAGAATGTAAACGTGAAACCCACATCTTTGACAACAACTTTGAGAGTTTCAGCTCATTTTTGAGTTCGACTCAAAGTTTAACTTTGCGCCTGACACACAAAAATCTGTTCAGCAGTAGAAAGTGTAGACAGAAAGAAAGAATATGAGGAATGTGGAGAAAATAATGGATCAACTCTAACCACATCTTTCTCTCTTCCTCCAGCCTCTCTGACTGTGAGTCCCAGCAGCTCTCAGTTTTTCATGTGGAAGTCTGTCTCTCTGAGCTGTGAGGAGGACGACAGCTCTGCTGGATGGACGCTGAGGAGGAACACGACCAGAGAAACCAGGACTCACTGTGAAGCTGACTGGGGAAGATCAGCTGGTTCTTCCTGTAACATCAGCTACGTTACTACATTGGACAGTGGAGTTTACTGGTGTGAGTCCAGAGAGGGAGCAACCAGTAACACCATCAACATCACTGTCACTGGTAAGATCAGACGGTGGAGTTAGTGTTGATGAAGCTGTGTGTAAATGATGAAATGCTGTAGTTTGTCTCTGTGTTGAGGTGGACCAGTGATCCTGCAGAGTCCTGTCCTCCCTGTGATGGAGGGACATGATGTCACTCTGCACTGTAAAACAAAGACCCCTCCCTCCAACCTCCCAGCTGGTTTCTATAAAGATGGCTCCCTCATCAGGACTGAGCCTACAGGTCACATGACCATCCACCATGTTAACAAGTCTGATGAAGGCCTCTACAAGTGTGACATCAGCGGTCGTGGAGAGTCTCCATCCAGCTGGATCTCTGTCACAGGTGAGGAGCTCAAAGATAATTCTCAAACTGACCTGGTTTTGTTTTCTACATTGAGTTCAGCAGGTTTCAGGACGGCAGAGATGATTCATGATGTGACAACATTTCTAACTTTGCAGTCTGCAAAGAAAGAAGAGTGAAAACCACCGTTTGAAATGTGATCTTTTTAACTTTAAACTTAACCACAGTGGCGAAAGATTACAAATTTATAATATATTTATTTATATTTATAATAATAATTTATTAATGTGTGTCTTTCTGCTAGCGTGTTGTTGAATACATTATTTAATGTATGTATTTTATTTTCTGTCTTAAATTACAATTTCTTGTTCATTTTAGGGAAACCCACCACTACAAGTCCAAATTCACCCACCTCTCCTCCTGATTCCTCCTCCTCTTCCTCTCCTCCTGGTTCCTCCTCTCCTCCTCTCTCTGTGTTGTGGTCTGCTGTTCTATCATTCTGTGTTCTGGTTCTACTGGTTCTACTGGTTCTACTGTTGAAACGATGCATCCACAGGAAACTGACACAGGATGATGACATCACAGACGACATCAAATACAGTGATGTCAAAATATTACATCACCTACAGCAGCCAATCAGACGCAGCAAAGGTAACAATGTTTTATTGATTCTGTTTTTCAGGGGCAGTGACTGTCTGTTCTTGTTCTTATATCTTTGTGAGGACCAGTTTCAGTTTTAGACCTTGAAAGATTTTGGAAAGTGACGTGATGTGAATGATGATATATAGCATTTTCATCTCAATAATCAAATGTAAAATCAATATATACACTACCCATCCCTTGTGTGATGTCCTGACATGTTGACTAACTGACATATTCATCCTGTGGTGATTATTTTATCTTGATCAAAGCCAGCAGCTCTGTGGTTGTTTTCCGATTCAGATAAATCCCCTTCACTTGTGTTTAGTCTGTTTTTAGTGTTCACAGCAGTACATAGTAGTAGTAACAAGAAAATCAATTGTACTTCAGTTCAATTTGTGGACTTTTACACATCGGTTTTCAGTAGTACTGGTATCAACTGTTTGTACTTTGTTTCCCAGAGAGGGATCCAGCTACAGTCTACTCAGCAGTGAGAGGAAGAGAAGATGTCAGTTATGGTCAAATTTTCATCAAAGACATCAAATCAAACAGGACGAGAGGTACAGCTGCTCTTTTCTGTTCCCTTATGAACCAACTTTTGAAAAATCTATTGGCCTGTTTCTTAAAAAAGTGGGTTGTACACACCTTTTATACTGAACAGTTGTGTTGAATAGGGTTGTCACTAATGAACCATTCTTACCACATTTATTAAACAAGTAATAAGAAGGGTGTCACTTTGTGTTGAAATTGGCGGGGATTTAAGGGCTCAGATTAGGGGCATGATGATACACTTGGGTCATGAGACATGATGATGCATGAGAAACACTCGAGAAGATTTTTAACACTATTTTGAAAATATATGAAATGCTGAAATATATGAGCGGGTGATTTGCGGGTCTTCCCCAGAAAATAAAATTAAGCATTAAATACTTAATTTCCTGCATTCTGGAGAAATTTCTGCTCCAATTTGTGGTGCAATGGCCTTGTTGCAAGCTATTTTTTAGAATGTTTTTTACAAATGCTTTCAAAGAGTGATGGGCTCAAAATCAGCCATTTCAAAACGTGGTGAGGACATGACCCCAGTGTAAATGACATCTGTGAGTAATAATAATCTGTGATTTCTGCTTAAGTCTGGACAGTTTGAAATCTAATTACATTTCAACCCTCCTTTTCTTTTCTCCACATTCCCATTTAAAAACCTAGGTACAAACTCTAAGAGCTGAAATCAACATAAGCATCATTATTCAACACTGGTTTTCCACGCTTACCATGGCGGGGAGGGGTGACAGTCACTAATGGTAACAACATATTTTTAATTAGGGTTATTGGTTGCATTTGAAGCAATACGTTTTACATCCAATCAAAGTTAGGATGTTAACAAACAAAACAGAAAACGCAAAAGCAATTTACTGATATTCCTAAAGTTATGGTCTTGACTGGTCGTGAAATAAAATCCTGAGTCCTCAATGTCAGAGAAAAAGACAAGACCAAGTACAAATGCGGTCAAGTCTGAGATGAGAAAAAGTGGTCTTAAGACCGGTCACAAGATCAAGACCAGTCTTGATTACTACAACACTATCCTACAATAACTTTACTATGGTTAAATGACACTTGCTATGAGTCTCAAGCTTAAAATAACTTATTTCCCTCATGTTTATTGAAGCATTCCTCATTATAAAGGTATAAGACAATGGTGAAAAATACCATAGTGTGTTGTCATAGCCCTACATTGAGAAAATGCATACTATACTGAATAATAATAAATAACTGTATCAGTTACAGAAACAAACTTTAAGAAGTTCTTAAAATTCTATAAGAACTGGTCCACCCCAACGCAGAGACAAATTCTTTAAAATTCAGCTTTCATGGCCTTTACATTGCCATTTATATAATTTCAGTACATTTGATCTATCTTTGTGTCCAAACCCACAGTGTAGGTTAGTGGTTATAAGGCGCATACGCTGAAAATAGTTTGTATTGAGTTTTTATTAAGACTGTATAAATTTTAATTTATGATGCCGATAACAATTTATGTTCTAGCCTACTATGCAAATTTGCATCAAGCTAGATTCCTGTCTTCAATCTAAACAACTGCTGATATTAGATTAAACCATTCTTTCACTGCTAGTTAGGCGTCCAAGCCCGAAGTGGGCTCTACCCAGTACCCAGTACCCAGTATGCATAAAACTGATACTGCGGCCTAGACGGTAACTGCTAGGGATGCGAAACTCAGAAGGTACGTTCACAGCCCCAAGAGTACCTCAGGCGCAAAAATCCGCACACTTCTACCTCTAGGGGGCGCTATAAGCAAGGTCAACGCGTTTGGGCTTGGAACTCCCGTCTACAAAGGCGTATATCAAAAACTATATATCCAAGCGTTCAGGGGATGGAGCTGAATCTCGTGGTATAGGCCACACCCATTTCTGCCTAAAGTTCTTTTCCGTAAATTTTTAATTAACTCCTTCGAAGCCACAAGTCCGATCGACACCAAACTTGGCACGGATATTCTCTGAACCAAGTTGATGAAAGTTTATGAAATTTTAATCCCACAAAAAATGTCGCAATTACAGGCTAAAAAAAATGCTAAAAACAGCAAATGATGTTATATCTTCGCATTGGAATGGCCGATCGACACCAAATTTGGAGCATTAATGTAGGACACCCCCCTGAGGGCCTGTGCAAAATTTGGTGCAACTAGCCCCTAGGTGGCGCTATTTGAACCGAACACTTTGTTCCTCTAACCACAAGTCATATTAACATGAAAACAGTCCCGAATTGTTCAGCATGGTCCCCTTACTACAGGCACCAAAGTTCACTCAAATATACCCATAGGTGGCGCTGTTATTGCAGATTAAAGATGTTAAAAAAAATCCCATTGATTTACATGCATTTATATCTCCATAACCACAAGTCTGATTGATACCAAATTTGGGCCAATTGTTCCCCATGGGGCCCTGATTACATATTAATTTTGTGCAATTCGGCCTAAAGGTGGCGATATAATCGAAGCTCAAATACCCCATTAATTTCAGTGGGTATTTGAACCAAAGGACATTTGCCTCATAACTACGGCCCACTACATCGCACATTCATAAACCTTACCTCTGTGTGTTTGGGGGATGCCGCCGATTCCTATGGTATAGGATATGCATCTGTGCAATGACGTTTTCATTTAACTAAATCGCAATCTGGAAAACCTATTTTAATTAACTCCTCCGAAGCCGCAAGTCCGACACGAAACATGGCACAGACCATCTCCAGACTAAGCCAATAGAAGTTTGTAGAGGGAATTTTGATCTGACAATTGTCCCAATTGCAAGCTAACAGATATTTGCGAAAACGCTAAAAACAGGAAGTATAACATATCTCAGGCTTGGAAAGGCTGATCAACACAAAACTTGAAGACCTTATGTTGCATGCCCCCTGAGGGGCTGTGAAAATTTGGTACAGTTAGCCCCTAGTTGGCGCTATTCAAAAAATCCCATTCACTTACATGCATTTTACATCTCCATAACCACAAGTCCGATTGATACCAAATTTGGAGCAATTGTTCCCCATGGACCTCTGATGACACCTGAGGGAATTTTGATCCGCCAAAAAATGTCCCAATTACAAGCTAACAAATGTTTGCGCCAACGCTAAAAACAAGATGTCAGATCTTACATTTGCAAACTTGGGGACCTTGTCCCATGTGGCATGCCCTCCAGAGGGGCTGTGTGAAATTTGCCATCAATCAGCCTCTAGGTGGCGCTATTAATCGAATATGAAATAACACTCCCATAGACATACATTGATTTCTGATCTCCGTAACTGCAAGCCCCTTTAATTTCTAACTCTGCTCATTTATTCTCCACGGGCCCCCGAGCCGCGCCGGGGCGCCTGAGCCGACTCGCACGCGCTCCGCGGGGCCAGGTGGGCCGGCTCGCGCCAGGAGGCTTGGACCCTGCGTACAACTGCTTGCAGTTCTAGTTGTGATTGTGATCACCTTTCTTTTAAAAGAAATTAGTTGGCAGCTGTTTTCATTCACTTTCTTTTTTTGTGCCTTGATTTCCCTTTCTTTGGGACAGACATTTCTGTCACAAAGCTGTTGATGCTCAAGCATCAGAAGTCAATCATTAAACGTTTAGGTAATTAGTCCATTTATTGTTGTTGAGTTTGAGAAGGTTTGCAGTTGTCCAAGTCTTTATGTATGGCAGGCAGTTGACAAGTGGCAGGTGAGTTCTGGATTGAGGGCTTGGTGCTTATGTACAGCTGGGTGTCATCAGTATAGCAGTGGAAATTGGAGTCCATGCTGACTGCTGCATCATCTGGGGTAGCATGTAGATATTGAAAAGAAGGAAAGAAGGGGACCAAGCAGAGATGCCTGGGGCACACTGTGGTTGGCTGGAGCCAACGTGAGCAGAAGTCTTTGAGGGCGATGTATAGTTTCCTGTTGGAGACAAGACTGCGCTGTGCCAGTAAGGCCAGTAAGTTCAGAGAGGCAGTTGAGAAGGATGGTGTGGGAGATGGTATCGAAAGCTGCATAGAGATCAAGGAGGATCTGGCAATGAGAAGGTCATTTGTTATCTGACACATGGCGATGAAACTGGGCAGCCACAGCTGTTTCCAGGATTTTAATGAGGAAAGGTAGATTGGAGATTGGGCTGTAGTTGTTTGGATCATCTGGGTCCAAACCAGGCTTCTTTTGTGTCGGGATGACCGGCAAAGCTGATACGTACCGCTCCATGATGCCACCTATAGTGCAGCATAGGGTGGAAAGTCATGACTTAACCAAGGCAGTTGGCATCAGGTCCAGTTTGCTGGTGTTACGTCCCAAGGTCTAGGGGTGTCTTGGATGTAACATAAAGGTGTGGCTTCCCACTCTTCCCATTTCCAAACAAGGCCAGAACACAATACAATATAGCAGTTTTATTAGCTTCAGAGATGAGCAGTGCCCAAAACAACAACCAAAACAATCTAAGAAGACTAAAACTGTCCTAAACCAAAAACAGAAAGTAAAGAAAAGACAAAGCTCTAAACTAGGCTTCTAATCTCAAAAAAAGGAGAAAAAGGGTGCAAACAAAAAGGGCTTCTCACTCCTAAACACTGCTATACAACAAAGAAATATCTGTATATTACAACAAAAAAAATGGCTAAATCCAACAAAACAAGGTTGTCAACAACAATCAGAATTACAAAGCTAAGCTACACAGATTCACTTACAAAGTCTCCTCTAATCACAGCAGTTTTCTACTCACAACTACCTGCCTCTGCATCTTTTTTTTCCACTCTGCACATCTAAACCACAGCAGCAACTTCGGCCTGTTGATTCCAGTGAACTCTGGCTTGAAACTGGTGGTTTCTCACTACAGTGTGGTCTGTTTTAGCTGATGGTGATGTGTTTGTCTGTTTTGGGCCATGTGCTCAAATGTGTGAACTTCTTTAAAAAAAGCGAACAGCTTTGTGGTCGTCTAGTTTCAAATAAATAACGCCGAGTTATATTTTGTCTTTCAAGCAGACACTTGTAAAATTGCCATTTATAATAAAACTTATTATAATTCTACAAGAAAAATAATGAAATTATTTCTACGAGTACTGCAACACATGTATTATTACATGTGCTGCAGTACTCATAGTACTTTAAACACTAACAGTAAATATACCAGTAGAAGTAGCAGCAGTAAATGTACTAACAGTACTGGTATCAGCTGTAGTACCTGTAGTTATGTAATTTGTATGTGTTTTTATTTTCCAGAGAGTCATCCAGCTGTAGTCTACTCAGCAGTGAAAGGAACAGAAGACGTCAGTTATGGACAAATAGTCATCAGACCAAACAGGACGAAAGGTACACCCAAGTAAAAAAGAAATATACCTAAGTAGCACTTTTTTGGATGCACTTATCATATTTTAATTGTACTATACTAAGTGTATACTAAATGTGTTTTTGGAAAAACTTACAACATTACAACATTAAGATAATTGCAATATATTTTAATATACTTAGTTGTGTTAAAATGGATCTATTTTAAGTACCTTTACTGCAATTTAAATATACTTGAAGAACACTTATATAAATAATATATTTTCACATAAACTTCACATAAATGTGTTCCCTGAACATTTTTATTAGCATTTCAGCATATTAGTAATTTATTACTAGTTTACTCCAAGAGTCACTATTAATATCTTGGGGAGCTGCTTTATGAAGCCATTCAGTATGAGAATAATGCATTATTAATGCATTAAAAATATCTTGGAAAATGCCCTTTTAGCATAATAATAAATTATTATAGTAGTATTAGTTATATTAGTATATTACAAAAATAACTTCCTGTACATTAAATGGTACAGCAGAATGTATCACATCTAAAGCAAATACAATAAATAAAAATAAAATCAGTAAAATGATGACATATGATCAGCCTTACTGATAAGTACACTATACACATCCCATCATTAATGTTACCCATGGGGGTCCCTCATATGGTTCGGACTCTGGCCACGGCTCAGATGACCTCACGGCAAGCCGTCCCACTTCTGACACCATATGCGGCCAAAGGCGAGAGCAGTCACCCTGCCCAGATTCAAACACAGGTCTACAGGGTACCAAACATGCAACTTTGACAGCAAGGCCAAAGAGATTTGGAAACTGTTTTATCACACAGCATCTGTGGAAGGGAAAAGGAAATATTTTGTCTATATCAAAGCAATATTACCTCTAATTAATTAATTAATTAATTAATTAATTAATTAACCATTGTCTGATTTTTTTATTTTGTTTAAAGTTACTGAAACACAATATGACATCATGTCTAACTGTTCTGATAATGCTAACCGTTTAGGTTCAGGTGAAATGGTTTTCCACAAGGGACCCCTCCCAATGCTCAGTTCTTCCATTACAACATGATCAAAAACATTACATAAACACTACTGTGTCATTCAGCCAAGGAGCTGTTTTTGATAAAGTGTTATTAAACAGGTACAACAAATTTCACATTAACACAGCAGTCAATTTGTGGAGTACAAAAGTAGCCAATTACTTAATGTATAACAATATTTTAAATAAAATTATTTTTTCACAAGAATATTTATTTAGTCTGATCCTATTGACATGTAGTGAGGGCAAAAACAGTGATCATGTGCAGGAGCGCGGCAAGAAGGCAATTACATAAATAATTACAATATTTTGCAGTAGCCTACACAATGAAGCATATTTAGCATAACTATATTTCATACCCACTAAAAGTGTAATTATAACAATGTGCTTCCACAAAGTACACCTAAATAGTATTTAGTTAAATAAATATATTTTTAATAAATAGACTAAAATGTTGTGAAAAATAGGATTTTATTTAAGCATATTTATTAAAAGTTTAATTAAGTTTATATTTATTACCAATTTATTCAAAGTATACTTTTGAGAAGTATGTTAAAGCTCTGGAGAATATATCTTTAACATACTTGTAGTAAGCATGTTAGGAGTATGAATGTACTATAAGCATACTACTGTGAATTTCTAGTACATTTTCAGTGCCTCTAAGAGCACTTCTTTCGACCGGGGAGCACATAAACACAACATCCAAAAAACAAAGGAGTAAACCACTAGTGAGAGTTATTTGAAATAGTTTTTAAAAAGTACATGGAATAATGAGAGAACGACACATCTGTTATAGATGCAAAGCGAACAAGGAATGTAACATCTCCAGTAATATTAGGCAGTTATAAGGACCTTGAAGTAATCCGCCGGGGAAAAGATTGTTCACAGATATGTAGTTTTAAGTTTTTCACTAATACCTCCTTTATATTCCACACCATGGAAAAGCTCTGAACTGGAAAAAGATCTTGTGACATTTACAAAAAGCCTTTGTTCAACCTTCACACATGTTCTGCATAGTGTTCATACAAGGCTGTTTTCAGATCTCACAAAAAAATTCATGCGCAATTCAGTCATGCATCTGCAGTAACACATTCAGCATTTTACATAACCATATATTCACTTTGTATTGCCTTAGAAGAGTAACCCTTAGTAACCCTTTTTACTTTAAATTTTTAGCGAGTCCGTTGACTCACACAGATCTCTTTTATTAGGGATCCCTGACCCAGAAAAATTCCACTGGTCAGGCCTCTACTGTTGTCATGTCTGTCAGAATTGTTTCACTTGAATACTCACCAAAAAGAGAGTGTTGCCAGCAACCAGGTTTGTATGGATCACAGCGGTGAGTGAGCCTCTGACACTCAGAGTCACAGACTCCAGCCGTATGGTTTTCACTTTCATCTCCGAGTGTCCAAGTCCTCTCAGAGGAGTGATCCGGCCGAGTTAACGCCAAAATTATGATGGCAATTCTTGATTTCAAATAAACAGCTTAGGCAAACACTTGTCGTTCTGTGAATTTTATCCAAGCCTTCTGCAGAAGGAACTCACTGGAACAAACATGCATCATCCAAGTACCATCCAATGTTATCTTACGAGGTCCTATGGTCATAGTAAATCCATAATAAAGACATTTATGTTCTGGTACAGAAATGTATTTGTTGTAAAACATCATTGGACGTGATACTTCTCATCATTATTGTTATTGTTATTTTTAACAGTTAAAATAGTATTTCACAATAAACAAAACATACCTCCATTTACAAACATGATGCTAATAATGAAGAATAAATGACGAAATAATGTTGGTTAGCTTAAACTGATGTTTCCCACTAAATATGAATGTACAGAACTGAAAATTACATTTTTCAGCTTGTGATGCTACACTGACTTCCTGTTTATGTAGCTGATTACTCTTGATTGGATGGCCCTACAAATGTTTCCTAGCAACAGATTCAGATCACTCAAATCTTTACTACCTGAGACTTCTCTTAAGTTTTACTGGTGCGACCTGATTCAGTGAATCTCTAGTTTGAAACTCTTGTTAGTTCCTGAGAACTGAGTGAAGCAGAGTTGTTGTCTGGTGATGGAGTTTCTTTGTCTCCAACAGTTTCTCATGTTGTTTGAACTGTTTGTGTTTGTGTGTTCAGAGTTTCCAGTAGAGACAGAGGTCGTCTACTCTTCACTGAGGTAGACCTTCACACCTTCACACCAGTCCAACCACTGATGTCCAGCTGGCCTGGAACTGGTCCCCAGAGCCCCTCAGACCTCTGCACATCCATTTATTTCACACTGCTTAAAATAATTAGGGGACATTTTCATCACATCAGATCTCGTTAAACAAAATAATTGGAATTTCAACATCTTTATTGAACATTGTATAATTTGTTGTGAACCAAATAAAGTGACAACTGTCAATGGAAAACAAAATCACCAACCGATTGGGGGCTGGATTCAAAATCACACCAAAGAAAACAAAGAAAACAAACTGAAATCACAGGCAGATCCAAACTGCCTGACTTTCCTTACAGCAACTCATGATGTGACTCATGTACCTGTGTGCACTGCTGACAACATCTGGGCATGCTCTTGATGAGATGACAGATGGTGTCCCGGGGGAAATCCTCTCAGACCTGGATCAGGGCATCAGTGAGCTCCTGGACAGTCTGTGGCACTACTTGGCGGTGTCACCGACACGTAACGTCCCAGAGGTTCTCAGTTGGATTCAGGTCTGGTGAAGGTGAGGGCCCATGCAAACACACTCTGGCCACATGAGGCCGGGCTTTGTTCTGCACCAGGAGGAACCCAGGGCCACCCCTCCAAGGATATGTGAAGAGTCGGGGTGCTAATTCAGGTGTTCTCTAGCAAATGCAAATCGAGTGCTGGGCTGTGAGCTCAGATGCCATTAGAGGATCTCAGACCCTCATTGCCACCCTCATGAAGTCTGTTCCTGACAGTTTGGTCAGAAACATGCACGCCAGTATTCCCCCTGGAGGTCAATATTAGGGCTCTGATAGTGCTTTTCCTATTCCTCCTTGCACAAAGGAACAAATGCTAGTCCCGCTGCTGGGTTCATGCCCTTTTACAGCCCTATCCAGGTCTCCTTGTGCATTGGCATGTCTTCTGGTATCTCCTCCATGCTCCTGAGACTGTGCTGGGAGACACAGCAAACCTTCTTGCAATGACATGTCTGGATTTGCAATATATTTCAATGTTAAATTTAAGTTAGTATAGTAAGTCATAGTCAGCACCGACATGTTTCTTTGTATTTTCATTCATATATTTATATTGAATCAAATCTAATCATAACTTCATGTTGTTTTGTGGGTAATGTAATAACTAACTTTACTGTTATTTATATTTTATTTTATATTTTATTTCTTGTTGCTGCAGCAACATGTTTCTCTGCAGGATCGATAACCTTTGTTCTCGTTCTTGTTTTTCTCCTGTGGTTCTGTGGGTTTCACAAAGCTGTCGTATTTCTGTACTGCTTTGGCTAACCGATACACACCTCTCTTCAGTCCAGATAACTAAAAATAAGAGAAGAGAGAAAGTGTGTGTGTTTTACATTTAATGAAAAATGCTTGATGCTCAAATACAGTCAGACAGTTTAATTATTGTGTCACTATGTTGAATACCTTTGAAGAAGAAAAAAAAAGAGAAGTGAAATTTGGACAAATGGAGGGCCACACGTATTATTTAGCACAAGAGCCACAGCGTGTCAGCCTCCGTAGCTTCTTCTAATCACTTGAAATGGGAAGGGTGTGCAGTGAGCCGCTAGATGCTAGATGCCACTAAAGCCTACACATTGAATCTTTAACTGAATTGGATTCAGGTATTTTAAGCAGGACCTTGTGTCACGGCTGTAAAATCAGAGTTCTGCTTGGTGTCCTGTCTGTGCAGGCCAAGTTGGGAGGCCGCTTATGGAGGTAAATGGTGACAAAACCATTGAAAATGGACAGATTGAAAGTCACAAATAGATATTACAACTTGTAAACACAGCATGATCTACAAAAAGATTAAGGGAACGTTCTGTGTGTGGTGGTGTTAAAAAGACTCTTAAGCCTCTCTGGGACAATCTAGTCAATATTTGAGGGCCCTAGCCATAGTGGTTTTTGAACTGGCCCAGGTCTAAAGTGACATCTAAAGTAAACATCCTAAATCATCCTTTTTATAGCGTTTTCACAAACAGAAAAAAAATGGTTCAATCCATGAGCTAAATGTAGGCTATCCATAAACATCAGATTTGATGGGAATATAATGCAAAACAATCAAAATCATCATGCACAGACAAATCATTTTACATTCTTTCAAATTCTGGTTTTCAAGTACAAGTCACTGATTTCTATTTGTGAATCATGATGTGTTTATTTGTGGATTTTTAATCTTTTTGTAGATCATGCTTTATATTTGTGGATCATAAAGAGTTTGTTTGCGGATTTTAAATTTTTGTAGATCGTATTTTATATTTGTATTCATGAAGAGTCTGTATGTGGATTTTGTATCTATTTGTAGATCTTGTTTTACATTTGTGGATCATGAAGACTTTGTGGATTTTTAATCTATTTGTAGATTATGTTTTGTGTTTGTGTTTGTGTTTAAGTTGTAATATCTATTTGTGACTTTTAGTCTGTCCATTTTCAATGGTTTTGGCACCGATTTACCTCTATAGCCGCTGCGCTGTCTAGATAGCGGAGCAGCTAATTGCATTTTTGCAGCAAAAGTGGAAACAAGTACCAAAATTGACACAAATTTTTGATAAAAACCCATTAGCCACGCAAAAATCAAGATGGCTGCCATTTTTCCAAGATGGCCACCATTTCTGGCCTGGATATACTATTTTGTGTAGAATTGTCCAATATCAATGATGTATCAATGATCTGCTTACTGAGCTCTGAGCTGCTAAAACGCATGGTGTAGTTGGTGGAAGCTTAAAGCTGATGATACACGGAACAAATTTTAGAGCAATGTTGTTGGTCAATGTTGCCGTCAATGGTAATGAGTAAAGATTACTACCGTAATCCCCCCCAAGCAAGCTGACTGGAGCAAATGTTGCCTCTGTCAAAAGGAAACAAAAGAAAACTCTCAAATTACCACCAGTACATAATCCAAGTAAAAATAATGGCTATAGCATGATTGCCACCAATGTTCCTCTCTTTCAAGCCATCAGTGAACTCCCAATTATTCTTGTAATCTACACTGTTGAGACCAAGTCTAACTCTGAAACTCCATGTGTTCCCAGTCTGAATCTCAAACTTTCCTTGGGCAAGATACTGAACCGCAAATTGCCCCCGTTCAATCGCTGTGAATGTGAGACAGGTAGTCTGAGCAGGTAGTCTCAGTGTATGAATGTGTTTGAATGGGTAAATGTGATGTAGTGTAAAAGTGTTTTGGTAGTCGGAAGACTAAAACGGAAAAAAGGTGCTATGCAAGAACAGACCATTCCCCATTTAAAGCGTGCTGCCTACCAGGCAGGATGCATATGGGGATAATCAACACCGACTGGGGCTGGATTTAGGAAAGGTGATCTGTGGCATATTTTGTGGACTGATCTGCCTACCAGAGATGCTCACAAGTCTCTGATCTAGAGTCCATGTCAAGCCTAAAGTCTCTGAGGTAGAGTCCTAGTCAAGTCTCAAGTCCTGGTGGTTATAATGAGTATTGTAACACCTGCTGTGTTGCATCCAGGCTGCTTAGAACACTGCATAGCTATAAGAAATTCTGTAACTGTAACCTGTTTTCACTTACACAACATAACCATGCAATGTGCACTGCAGCAACTAATGACTGTAAGTCAACACACTCCCCCAGACTCTCAAACCCAGTGTAACGTTAACTAAATAAAACTTTAATGTTACATGATCAACAATAAACCTACAATCTGTTCGCAGCCAACGATTATCATTAATGGGATGGCAGCCAGCCAGCGTAAATGATTACCTTAATCGACCACCACAAGTTTGGCAAGCAAACAAACACTCGTTCATCTTTTTATAACCAACCGCAGTCGCAGTTAACTTCCCTTAGTACGTAGCATAAACATAAGCAAACTAACGTTAGTCAAAACTGAGCTAAACATGTTTACTAACCTATCAGGTTATAACCCATTTTGCATTCTGTCCTTCTTTTATCTGGGCCTTGTTGTATGAAGTTTTAAAGCTGCTGGTGCAGTCAATGTGTTTGTTGTCCGTGCTTATTTTTTTATGCGTCTACTATGATGAGGTTACGAAATTAAATGGTTCCTTTTTGGTCTGTTTTAACCGTGTTTATTGTTATTTTGTGATTGGCACAGGGTGTTTTATTTAGAAAATTTGCTGGATTATCTATGTCATTCAGTGTGTCACTTCCTGCCCGGTTCGAATTGCTCTGTGCTGCTTGACGCAGCATCTGTCTCTTCGGAGCGGAGAGCCATCTGGGACGTGCTGCAGCTACGTCTGGTGGATTTACAAGCATTGACTAGAATGGCAGTGATCAGCTCCGGCAACCAGGGCGCAGCCGGAGTCAGTGGATACATGTGGCTGTGCACAGTTGATACTCATCAGATGCATACTGAAACATTGTTCACTGGTCCCGCACCTCAAGTCTGCGTCAAGTCTGAAGTCTTTTGAGGACAAGTCTCAAGTCAAGTCTGAAGTCACTGTGTGTTCGACTTAAGTGCAACTCCAGTCTGAGTCTAAAACTCGAGTCCCTATCTCTGATAAACACGTGACTTTGGTGTGGTGCAGGTGAGCAGGGTTTGAGTTCACACTGCTGCCTGAGCAAGATTCTCCTAGTTGCTCTATAGGTGTGCGACATTTGACATATAGTGTAAGCGTAAGCTAAATAAGTAAATGTAACGTAACTGATCTCCCCCCTATTGCAGAGAGTTGCAAACAACTGTCCAAGTGTGGTCTGTTGCCATGGAAGGTGCAAATACTACAGCCTTGGTCATGCTAGCACAGCACTGTGGAGCTGCTAATGTGAAGATTATGCTCCATTTCAACTTAGAGCATATATCAATTGATTAAACATTTACATCTAACAGAACTTTTAATCCTGGAATGTTTAGTTATTCAGTTAGTTAGTTTTGTCATTCAGGTTACTGATGCGAAAAATATACAATGATCCATAAGTGTTTGGGTTACACATGATTGCATTTTATTTTTATATTATTTTATTTACATAGCGCCAGTTCGCAACAACTCATTATATTTTGTACAGTAGTAACCAAAAGTTCATATTTGGTTCATGTACAAATAAAAAAGTCCATTTCTAATGAAGGTTATACTAAAATATTGTTGTTTTACTTTTAAAAATATTTATAAGAAAGAAATTTAAATATAAAAAAATATGTCTGATGTATACATTTAAATATTCCATGGTTAATAACTAGTCATTTGACACCAGAATTATCAAAATTGGCCAGGACAATGATATTCTATGGTCAAAAAAAAATGGCTGAAAAAATGACCATCTTTAAAAATTATTTTGAAATTTACGTGGCTAAGGGATTTTTTAAAAGAATGACCCAAGAGATACACTCAGTCAAATTTTGGTACTTCTTTTCACATTAGAAATATTTTTTGCTTATCTGCTGTACTAAGTTTGTCAGTATCCTCCAGAAGAAGGAGAGAGGAAACGAGACTAAGAGTGGAAAGAGAGGGAAATAGACCTCGTGCTGTAGTTTTTGTCAATGAAGTGTCTGAGGTCACAGGTCATTGACCAATAAAAGCTGCAGCTTGGTGTCAAGGCTGAGTTTTTTGAGGATTCCTGGGAAACTGAGTTCAATGACTGACATGATAAAAGTCAGTTATGATCACAAAAGGAAAACTTCACCCTTATGAGGTCCCTGTTATCCCAACTTTACAATCAATTAATCAATCAATCAATCTTTATTTGTCCCCGCAGGGAAATTAGTTATATATCCTGCACCTTGCTACGATTAGGCTGGCCACACTAGCTGAACATCCTGCTTATTTGACTATATACCTTACCTGTTTAAAACCGTAATGGCTTGAGGGACAAATTGCAATTTTTAGCTATTTTTAGTGAATAAATTATCAACAATCCATAAAATCAAGCCAGGTTTGAGTGAAATTTTGAATCCAATCTATCTGCTAGAAAGAGCTAAATAGGATTAAATGTAGGAGTGTGACCTTTTACAGTATACCATAATTACCGTAACCATAATTGTAAATCTAGCTGGTGTATTCCGTATTACTTTTCCAAACTCTCACACTGTTTGCTCAGCACCTGATTGCCCGGCTGATTTACAGTTAAATATAATTTATTGTAAAAGAGTCAATAAATTAATTTCATGAGTAAGTTTCTAAGTTATTCCAAGTTAACTGTTCATCAATCATTATTTTCAATTCTTATTTTTTGAATAAAAATAATTTTTATCTCACTACACTGTCAATTCATGAGATGGATCAAAAATGAAATGAAACACTCGCACACCTCACGTTGAGGGTTACTCTTTGGGAAGACATTCTGTGGTAAGCACAGCATCAGGGGCTTATTTCATTTAATAGAGACTGGCACTGAGACTGTGTCCAGAGGGAAATTAGGCCCTGTTTGCTTCTGGCCTAGGCACTGATTTAAAGTTGTGTACAAAAGGTAAATGTATTTGAAATATGAGTCTTCACTCATATACAGGCAGCCCCCGACTATGACGTGCTGCTGGAGGTGGTGACTAGAGCCGTGGCTAAGCTCAACATCATCTGGCCACAGGAGGAGCAGACTCCACAAGCTAGTGGTAAGCTTGATGAAAGGTTTCTTAAGCACCACGCGCCACCTCCACGCCGGTCTCTGCCATTCTTTACTGATTTACATGATGAACTGAGTAATCATGGGGCAGACCCTTCTCTACACGTCTTTCCACACCCCTATCACTGAACTACAGTAATGTGATGGGGGTTAGGGACCGTGGTTATGGGAGGATGCCTCGGGTGGAGGATGCGCTTGCGAGCTATCTCTCCCCTCGACTTGCGTCCTCCCTGGAGAAGCCAGCGTTACCCTCCAAGCCATGTCGCACCTCATCTACGCTTGTGGGGAAGGCGTACATGGCAGCGGGCCAGGCAGGTGCAAGCTTGTACACCATGGCGGTGCTTAAAGCCTACCAAGCCGACCTGCTACAGGAGATGGTTCAGAGGGGGGGTCCCTCTGAGGAAGATCTGGCGGAGCTTCGCAGAACCACGGAGCGTTTGACGCAGGGCGAAGCGTTCCGCCAGTACCTCCCTCGCCGGTCTGGACCCAAGGCAGCTGAGGCTGCCAGGCGTAGGTCCCTTCCCTCTACGACCTCCTACGGAAAGGACAGGAAGCAGAGTGTCGCTTCTCGGGGCCCCCCGAGGAGCTGGGGCAGCGAGACGGCGCTCTCACCCTCAGCCTTCTGAGAGACGCGATCTGAGGGCCGTCATCCAGTCCCGACGGAGCTCAGGGAAGACCGGGGTAGGGGAGTCTTTCTCCCCTCCCGCATAGATGGGTTTCGACTACAGTTCAAAACCCGCCCTCCAAAATTCAACGGGGTGGTTTGGACTGTGGTCCGCCCGGAGCAAGGTCCGGTGTTGGGACAGGAAGTTCTTACTCTGCTGAGGAAAGGGGCCGTGGAACGTGTCTCCCCCCCAGACAGAGACGCCGGTTCTACAGCTTCATAGTCCCCAAGAAGGACGGAGGGCTGCGCCCCAAATATATGGTT